TCAAATGTGAGAGGTCACGAGATCGAATCTCGATCGTACCATTCTTTTTTTTTTTTTTTTTCTTTTTTTTTTAAATACTTTTTTTTTTTACTAAATGATAGTATTCAGCATGTGAAATGAAAAATTTATGAGGTTATAAAATCATCATTCAGTGTGATAAATATTCCATATAAAAAAAATCTATACACATAATAAAGAATAAGCAATCAAATCTTTATATGTATATTGACATACATGTATTTTATTTCCTTCAGTATACATGTATACATTTAATAACTCTACAAATTCAGTCAGGGGGAGCCGACTTTTTCCCTAAGCGGGGGACACGAATTCTCTGAATTAGCTTGTATATAAAGAAATCAAGTATCAAACATACATGGAGCGAATGGTGAGATTTTAGCGGTATGTACATGTGTATAATAGAATTAGAGTAGATTTAGTTAAAGTGACAATAAATATAAACAGAAGTAAATTAAGAGATAAAAAGATAGGATTATATCTATACAAAGGTTTTTGTAATGTACAAACAGGAGTTGCTTTTTTGGCAAGTTCTGTGAATTAAAATCAAAACTGTTCTAACTGTATCAGATTTATTTAAATTTTATGGTCTTAGAATAGTGTACAATGTACGATACAAAAACTCTCTAAATACTTGTTTGTAATATTTTGGGATGTGATATGTGCCTCGGAGTACAGTTAAGATTTTGAAAAGAGATAAAGTAGAATATTACTAATGTATGTTATAATCAAACTTTTTTAGTTGTTCTGTTTTAAATGTACATGTATGTACATACCTGTACATTTGTAGTGTTTTTTTTTTTTTTTAATTTCAGTTCATTGAAACCCATGAATTTTTTTTTTATGTATTAATTTTGTACATTGTACAATAAAGGATAAAGCGGAGAGAAAAAACGAATCCTCCCCGGCGGGGAATCGAACCCCGGTCTCCCGCGTGACAGGCGGGGATACTTACCACTATACTACCGAGGATTCATGATGAGGAGAGGTTTAATTCCATTCAGTGCAAAAACTAGTGGAGTAGATGTCACGTGACTTTATTCGATTAGATTGCATTCGGCAAACCTCGGCTGATTCCGTCGCCCTCATCGTTGGAAGCGGATCAACATTATTAGCGAAGCGAACACAGACAATCCAGGGTACACGAATTTGTTAATTACATGTACCTATAAGTTTAAAAGGGAAACACAAGCACGTTATTTAATGTCTCTGTTATAAAATTTAAAAAAATATATATATATATATAATACTGAATTTATTTATTATTATTCTGCAGGAAATAAAATTACAGAAACAAGTGCCTGTGATGAGTTATTCAAGTAGTTAACCTTCTAGACCTATATAAATTATTTCGATTTCAAATATGATATATCAGTATGAGCCGATGGTAGAGAGTGAACAAAATGTTGTGAACAAATATATAAAATGAACGGGAAAAAAGTTGAGTCGCCCAGAATTAATATGTAAACAAATCAAAATGGCTTACTCCTCTTTTCCATGCCTTTATTTTTTTATTCATTTATTTTATTCAATTATTTAAAATATTTATATATTATTTTTTGTTAGAAATAATGCAACACCAAACACGTTCTTTATTTTTCCTCTCAAATATAATAACAAAAATGAGTAATGACACACATTTTGCAAATTCCATGCATGCATGAAGATTAAGAGATCAAGAGATGTAGAGAAATAGAGAGGAAACATTTTGTGTAGTTTTTGGGGGGGATTTAAAATTATTTTACAAACTATATTTAGGTACCAAAACAAATATAATAGCGCTTTAGTCGGTTATAATTTTTAAAAAATAAATTTATAAATAGTTTAGAGAAGGTTGTCAAGTACAAATTCGCTGCACTCATTTTTCTTTTAATACTTTGCATTTAATTATATTTTACGGATTAAAATGAACAAAGATAATATATCTGTGAAGAATGACATGAAAAAGAATGCTCCACCCAAAGTGTTGGCTCAAAGGCATGTCTGCTGCTTACACGCCCTGTGTGTAACTGAAGGATGTTTAATTTCACCTTGAATGAAAATCATACATGCATGATTTATGTACATAGAACGCATAAAGCTGATCAATGTGCGCTTTGAATTTTAATGCAGTCGATCTTAAAGTCACAAGGCTATTATCTTTTTTCTCATTTTATACAGTTTTATTTAAACCGGTTATAATAAGTTAATATGACAAAAAAAATTTAGAGAAAATGGGGATATAGGTAATAATAAAGTTAGGAAGGGGTGGATCCTGAAATTTACAATAATGAATTCTAACCCATTCACCCAACCTATCCCCTGAGATAAGATGAGATTAATTGGAATTTTGTTTTATATTTACTATGATAGAATTTGGAAATTCATTGGAAACGAAATAAAATACCCATATAAGCAGAATCTTAGTGTGTATTTATTTTTGGCCTTATTACATGTACTATTAGGAAGGGTGCTGAGATCGCATTTTGAGGACAAATCGCTAAATTTGTCCACTTATACAATAACTTAATTACCCCCCCCCCCCCCCCCCCGTCAAATGTATACTCATGACTCATTAGGAGCTGTATGCTGTGATTTTTTATATGAGTAATAATAACCTACATTTCATTTTGATCAAGGTCGATTCAGGAAATTTTTGGGAAAGTCCATGATAATTCCTTACTAGTCAGACTGATAAACATGCACGTGCGTGCACGACAGAAAAAATTATCAGTCTGTGGTCCTTTCAAGGTTGTCTTTAAACCCCTTGTTTAGCGTCGGCTTCAACTTTCTGCACAGACAGAACAAATTTTATGAATGGGTTTATTATCTGTGATATCTAAGTATTCTGTCTAAATAAGCTTACCGAAAGGAAAGTAAATATTGACTTTCCATCTCTATTTACACTACCCTTATTAGATAAGTAAAAACTAAGTAAAAAACAAATATTACCTTATTTTAAGAAACTTTTTCTAACCTTAACATCTTTGGTAACTAACCACACTGCATTGCATGCTATCATGAATGTTCTGTGCATTCAGCTACCCTAACTTTTTGGGTATGTATCACCATGACATTTGCATGCAATACTTAATATAGTTCGTGGCCTCAATTTATATACATGTACATATAAAACCAAATACTGGATCTGGAACTATGATTTATTTCTAAAATATATTTTAATTAAATGGAGAAGTTGTAGCTTACTTTAATTTTCAATGATTTCATTTTTCAAACAAAAAATGGAGCTTAAAATGAAATCCAAGCAAATAGCATATCGAACGGACAAGTACATGAGGGGAAAAAATCATTATTGAAGACGAAATTTCACAAAGAAATAGAACCTTCATTATAAAATAGTAATCCTTAAAAAAGGAAGAATATTAAGAGCTTTTTTTCCATTTCTTTCCTTGAAAGCGCAGAAAGACAGACCTTAGATACCTGTATAACAAATTTGTTAGAAAAAAATCGCATTCGCACGTTCCGGACAGATAAATTCACATTAATTTTGTAAATGTATGAAGATTTTTTTTAGTGCCAGCCAATACATGTATAGTTATCAAATTTACAGTAAAGAGTTAAATCAAAATTAATGTTAGACAATGATAAAATCCCGAATCTCTAGAAGTGATGTAAAGGAAGATTTTTTAAAATAGCTTCTCTGAGCCGTCATTATTACATGTAATTCTTGGATTGTAGTTACAAAAGAACTATTCACTTCGAAGCTAAAATAGGAAATCACCAGGGAACTCCTTCAAAATTATTTACCAGACATATCAACAGGGCTAACAGAGGTTGGACAGAAACCTTTCAGTATATGCCCCTGTCAAGTCAATTCCTACCAGTAAAACCTGTTTATCAATAAGATATTATTTCTTCTTGCACAAATCATGCAAATACATTTTATCTTTATGAATGGGTCTCTCTATCCTGATTCATGCTTTTTGTAGATGTCGGGATATAAGCCCATTGAAAGGAAAGCAAATATTGGTATTTGAATCCTATTTATTTACTTAAGTAAAACACCACTTATCAAAGAGGTAATACTAAATATATAGGTACTACCTGTCTCCAAATTTGAGTTTACTTTTAAACTTAAAACCTACAGTAAACAAAACATACTTCCACATTCTCCAGCTAAATCAATATTGAAAGCAGATAAAACTTATATAATGGGACTTCACACTATAATGGATCTATATAAAGAACTATATTCTACTAAACAATTTTTATTCATTAAAAAGCTGATTTTAAGGCATGGACTAGGTACTTCTAAAAGTACAAGAGGCCCATAATACTCAATTACATATATATTATAAGGCCTGCTGTTCCTTACCAGAACTTCATATTTTTTGTGGAGTCATCCTACCCCAGGGGTATCATTATATGAGCAATCTAGAATCTACTCTATCCAGGTATGCTTCCACCTAAGTTTCAGCTTTTCTGGCCCTGTGGTTCTTGGATTGAAGATTTTTTAATGACCCCACCCTATTTTTGTCTTTTTTTGATTTATTTATTAATTCCTCGTAAAATGGGCATGGCCCATCACGTTAAAGAATTATATTCCCCCTTTACCCAAGGATGCCATGTACCAATTTTGGTAAAAATATGCCCATTGGTTCTTGAGAAGTCTTAAATGTGAAAAGTGTACAGACAGACAGACAGATAGGCAGATGTCGGAGAAGGGTGATCAGAAAAGCTCACTTGAGCTTTCAGCTCAGGTGAGCTATCAAGGCAGCTTGCCTGTCTGAGATGTTTGTTTATAAGATTATCTGATACAGTGTATTGGTGAATAAAATTTGTAAATTTGGTGGTTGGACAAGCTTTCTAAAAGAAAAAGTGCTTGAAAATTAATGAAAATTTGGATATAAATAAGAAAAGTAAATGTATAAAATTTACTAAATCTGCAGAATTCCTGTGACTCTTTCAACATTACATGCAAGATGGATGAAAACTGGATTTAGATTACAAAAAATTACATGTACCCCGGTACATGTAAATGTTCCAAAAGACCTCCCAGATCTGGATAATTTCCATTCAAATGCTTCTGTTTTGTTAAATTTCTTTAATTTATTCATATTTTATCAGCAGACATATTTGATATGCAAATCAAAAATAAATTACAACTCATTTATAGTAACTTACTAAGACAATACACAAAATGGATATGTTTTACATGGATTTTCTTAAAAGAAAACCTCTGAAATGAAAATGACCTATTCATAATTCAGAGTCACAGTCCCATTTGAATTGCACCATTAACTTTTTTTGTATTTCAATGTAACATCAAATGCACAAGGGGCTAAATAATATTGATAATGATTTCGACATGAATTATGATAAAATTTAACTTAAGTATTCTACCAACATTTCAGATGATATATAAAAATTCTAATTTGGTGACTGGATTTCAATTTCTAGAATCAAGCTTTCCTTCAAGTAATAAATGTATTATATATCTTTTATATATATGAGAGGAGATTCAGTAACAAAATAATTTACTACTTTAAACATATATAAACAATAAAGAAGTTCGCATATTATCTTTATGTATACAAGCATGTCGTAGTAATATATTAGATATGACATGTACATACCTGTGTATATATTTTCATAATCTCAACCCCACCTTCCTTAGAATTATTAAAACAACAAAGCAACCATTAACAACTGACATCAGAATTAGTAAATTGTGACGGAAACATACAGCTTAATTTTTTTTAAATAATAAATTATATATGTATTTAATAAAATACATGATTTAATAGATAGTGTACTTCTAAAAGGTAATATATGTAATACCTTATAAGGAAGCTTACGAAATGAACCACAATCAGAAAACTGAATAACAGAAAACTTTCACACTGCAAACTTAAACAGCTTGAACACTGACAGACACTACATGAATACGTTAATACTCTCATATCAGGTACATTTATAGAATGCAATCAAATGTGAAATGAGACATTTTATAATATGGCCACAGTAAAAACCAAAATGAAACAGAAGAGAAAAATAAACAGATGCTCACTAACTTTAAATTACATACGTTTAAATGCATTCTCTAACAAAGGAGACATTTACTTGTTGTATATGATTCAAACAAAAACTTCACTAACTAACATCAAGCACTCTTAAATGATAGCAACTATTGCACAGAAATAAATTACACAGTGCTCATACATGTATGAATTAATGGTCCAGTCAATGCATGTCTTTTACAAGAAATCCAATGTATTTCACCCTATATAAATACAGGCTATTTTATAACAAAAATACTGCTCTCAGCCTAGCCTATGTATTACTTTCTAGCACAATGATTTATCACAAAAATTGATTATTTCCACAACAAATTAACTGATTACAACTACAACATTTTCAATGGCTTTGAAGTATTTCCCCTACAGTTTTATCTAGTAAGCATTTTGTAAACTAATATTCAGTCCCTCGTTTGAGATCACGTCATCTTGGATTGTTCAAGGCCCACCCTGGACACATTCCGATGGCTTTGATAGGTCTGAAGATCTCTAGATTTTATCTGTATCCTCCCCCATCAATCCCATAGTTTCTGGCATAACATAGGAGATATCGTCCCAAGGATGTCGGTACAGTCCCTGCTTCAGTCGTTTCTGGTCCAGGAAATGACCTTAAAAAACAAGTTGTGAGTTATCAAAATGGGTTCCTTGAAGTGCTACAAACACTAAATAAAAATTCAATTTAGCTGAAAATATTCAGAAGTAGTTTTTAAATATATGCATATGGGGCTATGGGTTATCACACTTACCAATAAATCCCATGCTACGACCTAGTACAAATAACCCATTGAGGGCCCCGACATCTATCAATTCTCTGGCCTCCTCACCAGTAAAACATCCACAGTTGTTCAACAGATCAACAAATGCCACTCCAATAAAACCATCCACATTCAGGATTAGGTTAGGTTTCTAGAAAATAAAAAATACAAGCACTCATTATAATCTTGCTGTGTTGATAAATCAAAATATAGAGAACAACTGCCATTCCACTTAGAGGCATAAATAAGCTGAATGAATTGAGGACATGTGCTCATTAATTGATCATTCCAGATGTACATTGTTACATTCATAAAGTTATTAATCCAGAAAAGTGAAGTAAACGAGTTTTCAAAAAAGAGAAATGATGGCACATGTAGCAGTAAAAGGATTTAATCCCTCTTCCCATTTGAATATAAACTAGAACTGTCCAAACGGAACAAAATGGCCCCCTCTGGTTTTTTCAGAAGTGCTAAATCATGAATATTTTATGGATCTAAGAGAAGAGAGAAATGCTAAAACATTTTTAGTGCAAATGTAATTGCTCATTATATTTTTTATAAATGCAACGAAGGTGCTGCCTAATAACAAAAATACACTAAATATACAGACCAGACACGAATTATGAACTTTTTCTGTCAGTGACCTTGAACTTGCATAAATGACCTTAGTTCAAGGTCATGACACAACCTCAGGTCATAAGAAATGTTTGTGTGAAGTAGTAGATTCAAGTTTTTCCATAATAAAGAAAGATATGGACCAGACAAAAATTATAAAAAAAATTTCCAGTGATCTTGAACTTCCCCAAGTGACCTTGACATAAGGTCATGACACATCCTTAGGTCATGAGCAATCTTTGTGTGAAATTAGAACCTTCCAAGTTTATCCATAAGAAGAGGACACGAATTATGAAATTTTTCTTCCAGTGACCTTGAAGTTCCAAAAAGGACCTTGGTTAAAGGTCAAGGCACACCCTAAGGTCAGGAGGAATCTTGGTGTGGAATAAGAACCTACCAAGTTTATCCATAAGAAAGATATGGACACAAATTATGAAATTTTTCTTCCAGTGACCTTGAAGTTCCCCAAATGACCTTGGGTCAAGGTCATGACACACCCTTAGGTCATGTGCAATCTTTGTGTGAAATTAGAACCTACCAAGTTTATCAATAAGAAAGATATGGACCGGACATGAATTATGAACTTTTTCTTCCAGTGACCTTGAACTTCCCCAAATGACCTTGGGTCAAGGTCATGACACACCCTTAGTTCAAGTGCAATCTTTGTGTGAAATTAGAACCTACTAAGTTTATCCATAAGAAAGATATGGACTGGACACGAATTATGAAATTTTTCTTCCAGTGACCTTGAACTTCCCTAAATGACCTTGGGTCAAGGTCAAGACACACCCTTAGGTCAAGTGCAATCTTTGTGTGGAGCAGTAGATTCTAATGTTCCTCCGTAAGAAAGATATGAACCGGACACTTTTGCACAGACAGCTGGACAGACAGACAGCAAGACAGACGGACGGACGGACAAGGTAATTACCATATACCCCCCCAAAACTTCGTTTGCGGGGGGTATAATTAATTTGCATGTATGCTACAGGTTGTTAATGACAATGATGAAAGTGACATACTAAGATCACTCCATGCTTTTTCTACCCTTTAATTTCTGTTATTACCTTAGAAGTTGTAATTTTCTCCACTTCTATGGCGTAGTCCAGTAGAGGTGTAGCAGGGAAGTTTTTCTGGGCATACTCCTTAAGTATCACCACTCTCATGTCAGGATTATTGATCTGAAAAAAAGGCAAACTGAATATTGCAAAAAAAAATCCTGTGATCTATCCTTAATTTCGTTTAACTTTACTGATTGACCCTGTGGCATATTCTTACTTGACGAGTTAGCCCTGAGACCTATCTTTACCTACTGAATTGACTTGTGATCTATCTTTTCTTACTGATCTGACCCTTTGACCTATCCTTACTTATTGATTTGACCTTGTGACCTATCCGTACTCACTGATTTGACCCTGTGACCTATCTTTTCCTACTGATTTGACCCTGTGACCTATCTTTTCCGACTGATTTGACCCTGTGACCTATCTTTTCCTACTGATATGACCCTTTGACCTATCCTTACTTACTGATTTGACCCTGTGACCTATCCCCATGATAAGTTTCCCCTCCTTTCTCATGTTGTTGACAAACTCCATTGGTATCATATCACTGGTATAGGCATCAGAGAACTGTTTGGCTGCTGCATCCAGGGCCCCTCCAAACCTATCTCCCTGTAGGTAAAATTATAAAAGTATTTCAGATGGCATTCCACACTTTTTAAGTCTATTTCAATTTATCAAAGAATTATTGTTTAGTTCATTAAGTTTTCAAATCCATCAAAATTTAGTTTTTATTTATTTATAAAACTTAACTTCTCAAATCCATTCTATACTTCAAGAACAGATTCAAGTTTAATAATTTCTCTTTGTCAGATCAAATTTAATAATAGAATGAGCTTACAATGGTGAGGAGACCAGACGCTAGGCAGGACACCAGGTCTTTGCCCGCTCGAGCACACACGATGGTGTTATGAGCCCCTGACACGGCGGGTCCATGGTCAGCTGTTACCATTAAACACATCTCTATGAACTTTGTGGCATATTTTGGTAATCTGGAAATAAGATATGGAACAAATATCAGTTCAAAGTATAGCATATATTGTTTTTATTAACACACAGATTTAATTCAAATTGAACTTCTTAAAAGTTTTGCATCGAGCACCACATTTGATCAATAGAAGGTCATGAATTTTGCCTGATGCAAAATATGTGTCCCTTTAATCAACAGTGCTCAATAATGTAGAGCACAATCTTGACATAATCTAAGTAAATGAAGTACTTATGATATTCATTTCTATTTATACATCTTTTTTTTTACAAGAAATAGAATGGGATTTGGCAACAGGCAAAGCCTATTTCAACTAGCTAGCCAAGGGACTCTGATTTGAAATCTACTCTAGAGTAGATTTTGGATCAGAAGCCCTTGGCTATTGAAGATGAGCCTATTTTTTCCATTTTCCTAATATTCATCTTTAGCTGAATACAGATAGTTAAACAGATAATCTCAAGACAAACCTTCTCTGGAACCAAAGCAAACTAAGCACACCTCCGATACCCATATCTTCTTTGAAAATGTCCGTGATTGGTATCCCAGCATACAATAGTTCTTGTCCCCGCTCATCACAGATACTGGTCATAAAGGATGCAGGTTTCCTGATCAACCCAAGCTCCTGCAAAAAAGGGATACACATAGGGTACTTTGATTCCTAGACTTTTTTTACTTAAAATGAATCTGCTTTTCTCTTAATTTCTTTCATGTTGAATTCAAAGATACTGAACTTCTCAATGGAACTAACATTCAAGAATTTCCTGTTTCAAATATCAATCATAGGAAATCCGTTGTAAACTCAAGAGACATAATTCAATCTAATTTTTAAAATGTTCTTACTCAAATGGTGTACAAATACCTCTCATTACATCTATGTAAGTATTAATGTTACATATTAAATGTTCCACTTGACAGTAACTTACTCTAGCCCAAGTGAAGTCCATCGGTACTGTAGGTGGAGGTCTCTCAGGTTCTGGTACAATGGTCCCATTCTCTACCAGCTTGTCATAAACCTCTCTGTACAAAACAATTATTATGATAATATAATATATAATATGAGGTCTTTGTAGACTTCAAGATGAAAACATGAAAGAGAACTAGTGACTAACAGAGAGATCATGTTTCCAGACCATCTGTGTGTGTTTCAAAATCACTTAATCAACATAATATGAGTTTTTAAATAATTTAATAATCATAATAATTAATAGTAAAAGAACTGGTAAATTAAAAAAACTAAATTTTGACATTTTCTTACTTTATTAGAGTGCCCAATTCATCGAAACTTCTGGGAACATAAGCCTTTGCATCTGTCAAAGCTTGGTTTTTAGCTGAGGCTGTTTCTGCCTCTGCATTAGCACAAGCACCTGCATGGCCAAACTGCACCTGTTTGAACAATTTTGAGGACACTTTCTGTATCAAACTTTTTTGGAGGATACATATTCTTTCAGTATCTTTGCAGAATTTAAATAAAACATTAATTTAGTAAAAGAGGTATGAAAGTAGACAATATGTATATAATAACTAAAGCTTACATCGGATGTGAACATTTTGGCACAGGTTCCTATACACCAGGCCACCAGAGGTTTGTTTATACGTCCACTCTTCATAGCACTCACAATGTGGTATTCCTCTGTACCACCCACCTGTAATTAATTGCTACATTATTATAGAGATTCATCATATACAATTATAAAACTGTGCATGTAATCAATTATAAAAACATTGGTTTTAAATGTTGCAAAAACTAATTTACATGTAAGAATGCAATACACAAAACTTGAACAAACTAAATTCAATATATAAAGTTTGAAATCATAAGTAGATTTCTCTCCCTTACATTTGTTCTTCGTAATATCCCAGGTTTGAATTAAATAATAAAAGTGACAGAGTTACCTCTCCTAGTAATACAATCATTTTGACTTTTGGGTCTTCTTGGTATCTTAATATATGGTCCATGAAAGTTGTGCCAGGGTATCGGTCACCCCCAATGGCTATCCCCTCATATACACCATTAGCATTAAGGGAGATGATGTTATTCAATTCATTGGACATGCCTCCTGATCTAGATACATATGCAACACTGCAAAAAAGAGACAATGAATTATTATTGATTTCTAATATGAAAAATGTGATATAACTTTTCAAAATGGGCAAGCTTCTGATATACATGTATTTAACAAAAAACACTGGTTTTAAAAGCAATGATATTCAATTAGTTTGTAATGGAGAAATTAAGATTGTTTCTTCATGTGGATACTCAGCATCTGCAATAAATTTTCCGCCTTCATCATACTTCTCTTACCTTCCAGGTCTGAACAGCTTCGATGCCAAGATATTGTCTAACATTCCTCCAGTATTACCAATCTTAAAACATCCAGGTTTCACACCACCTACCTACATTATAGATTTATGATGATATATCAATAATTTGTGTGAGTTGAAGGCTTATAGCTATCTTATTTTTTAAAAGAATAATTTGGCAATAAGTTTGAGAACTGTAAGGGGGTAGGTGTTTGATATTCTGCTAAAATATTGCTTGGAGCTATGACTTTTGTAATTTACCAGGGTAACCCAATGGCATGATTTTAATTATTCATTTTAGCCTAAGCTTGACAGTTCAGGAGTTATGTCCCTATGTGATGATACATTCCATTAAAAAGTAGTCTTTCAACTCGTGAGAGTATTTTAAAACTTGTATGACTTTTAATGCAAGTTTGCCACTAAAAGATTAACCAGACATCAATTATGCTTTAGCAAGTGAGGCATGCTTTTCTTGGTTGACTCTAGTTATAACTTACTGTGGCAGGTCCTATGATGAACACTCCTTTCTCGTCAGCTTCTTTAATGATCTGTCTTGTCAGATTTTCTGGAATACCCTCAGCAATGATGGCAATAGTACGAATCTATAGATATGAATTTAAATATTTTTCAATTCATCTGAATTGATATACTTAATTCCAACACTAAGAAGTTAAGTATGAATCATATTTTTCCCAATACATGTAAGCATTTCATCAGAAAAACTTTGCATGAGCACATCCATTTTATGTAATTCCATTTCAGAAATTTATAGCCATCAAATAAAATATGATGTATTAAAATTGCTTAAATCTTTTAGGCTTTTGACAATACCTGTGGGTATCTCATAGTTTCCATGGTGCTCTCAAAAGCCGACCTTAGTGAAGCAAAGCTGATGAGGACATCTGCCTGTGGGTGCTTCTTCATTGCATCAGCCATGTTCTTGTAAACTATAAAACAATACCCATCATGTTATGATGAAATTTCTACCAATATAAATAACACCTTACAAACCATACCTTCAACAACTCTGCATTTTCCATATACAAATAAAAATTTACCTGGAACAAGAATTTCTTTATGTCCCCAGTAAAATTTCTGTTTGTGGTCTCCCCTGTTAAAATTCAAAAACAAGTTTATATGTACTTTTCCAATCATTTAGCAATGACTTGAAACCCTTGACTAAGAATAAAATCCAAAAGAATTTATCCTGACAGTTATTAACTTACGTAAATGGATAAATCATGGCGACTACTGAAGGGTCTCGCCTGGAGCAGACGTAATCAAAGTCCAGCATCCCCTGTACGGCTCTCTGCTGCATCCCCCAGATAATACACTGTGTCTTCTCTGTAAACAGAGGCTGGGTACTCTCAGACTTTGATGTGGCCTTTTGACCTTCACCTTGAACAGTGACCTTGACCTCAGACTTTGGTGTGGATTCATTAACTGACCCCCTTCTGCTAGTTGAGGGAGAGGCCTGAAAAGATGTATTTATGTCACAATACATTGTCTGGTATACTTGAGATGCTGAATGGCCTTTGCAAGTATTTCGAAGAGCATGCATACATCTGAAAACCATGTTTTAATCCCAAGATTTTTACTTGTGCACATTTTCTAGATAACTGTGTAATAGATTTAATACATCTGTATCAGTGTATTGTGTGAAGTGTGCAAGAAAATTGTTTCTAACAAAAACATCTAGTCTTACAATTCAAACATAAGTAAATGTTTACTGTATTACAGTACAACAAATCATTCAACAACTTGAAAATGAGCAACAACCAATTTACATGACTTTATATTGAGCATTATTGCAATATGGAGTACATGTATCAGCTAGGATAAATAGTACATGTATATTACACTGAATTTAGAAAGCCAAGAAAAAGATATTAATGTAATATATATACATGTACCTATATTTTTATGTACATAAGGTAAGAATGTATTTCTATATATAATATTTTTTAAACAACATAGGACTGGTGTAAAAGGTCCATAAATATTTAAATGACCAGTTCTCAATTTTTTTTCTCTCAATCTGCTCAATAAATGAAAAATTAAATGGATTCCTTGGTCAATAAATTCTTTGATTTATTCTACTTAATGTAAATTCCATACTTTACATATAATCCCTAAATATGTATGAAAATACAGAAAAACAGCAGTCCAAATGAGAATAACACTTACCCTAGCCAATATAATAAATAATTATCTTTAATAAACTTAGTATGTTAGCCCAAGTTTGGTTTAATTTGGCCAAGTGGTTTCGAAGAGAAAGTTGAAAATTGAAAAGTTATCTGACAGTCAACAGATGGCTGATGGATAACCTCATTTGAATTTTTGGATCATTAGACCTAGAAATATGTAGAATATTTTTTCTCAAATACATTCTTACAAGTAATGAAATGGGAACACCACTCAGAGCATAAGAAAAAAGTGACAGACAAAATTTCATATTCACTATTCTAAGACTACAAAATTTTAATATATCTGAAACAGATGGAGCATTTTTAATTATAATTCACAGATTATGCTAAAAAAAACTTCTGTCTTAAAAGTTCTTCACAAGGGAAAAAAGGAAAAAAAATAGTTTTTGAGAACTGGTCTTGTCTGTTGATTGGAAGTGATGCAATAGAAATACTGTAAGAGAAGAAATCAACACAATAAACTTATACACTAACATTGCATTGCCTTTCAGCAGTCACTAGAAACTCAGGATAGTTATTCTTGGAAACTCATCTTGCAAAAGAAACTATAAATGCTGCATTTTCAATAATGAAAAATGGGAGGAAAAAAAAGGAATCACAATCTCTGCATGCTAACAATACAACATCAAAACTTTACCCCCAAAGACATCCCCTGCTGGCAGTAAAATGAGGGAGCCTGAAATATTATGTAAACCGTGAAAGGTACCTCAAACCAAACCACAAACAGTGTGATGATGTCAAACAAGAAATTAAAATTTTCATGTATAACATTTACATGTGCACTTTAGCTATAACTTACATATGTTATTAGGTTTTAAATACATGACCCAGTTGTGTCAAAGCCTGCATGTATTGAATTAAAATGCAACAAAAGATAAATTTTAGGGAAGAAAAATATTCAACATAATATTTAGATTGAATCAAGTCAGCATGCTGTTAACATGCATGCAGCATCTGAAGGGGCTGGTAGATGAAGGTTTTATATGGAAATTTTCATACATGTTGTCATGAATGTCTTTATAAGCAAATGTACCAAAAAAAAAATACATGCAAACAGACACAGACACATGAAGCAATTATTCTTTTAAGTTTATTATATATAGTTTATATAATTATAATAATATACACCAATGTTTACTGTTTTTACTATTAAGTGTACATATGTAGTACTGTGATAAAATAACTGCTCTTTTGGTGGAATGCAGGTGCCCTTCTCTTTAAAAAGAGTAGAAAAATGTTAGTAAATTTGTTACACTGGATTTTCACCATAGTATATTGCATACAAGTTACATTACTACAGCTATACTAATAACAATATCAAAGTGCTCAATATTACCTGGACAACCTGGAAATTTGATAAAATAAATGATCACTAATTGTAATATTTCATAATCAAAATTATTTTCATATTTAAGGTTTTAAATGGGCTAGAATTGCTAAATACTTATATGCATTTCCTGCTAATGCTGTGGAAAGTTCTGATTACATTTAAAAAAAAAAAACGTCAGTTATTTTTAATTCCTGACAAAACAGGTGTTAAGCACTGGCATGCTCTGAGATTATACAGCAATAACAATGAACGTTTATACATATGCTTTTAGACACCTACCCCTCCAGTTGGCAACAAAAAGTTTGCCGTGGTATTCATGGGCCGTGGTGTTAATGGAATCTCTCTTTTCCCAAGAGCCATACTGACAATAGCTGTCATATGGGTTTCTGGACCAAATACATGGATTGGAATTCCCAGGGTATTTCCTGTGATAAAAATAAAAAACATTTAATGAACCATCATTATTTTAATAGAATGCAAAAACAAATATTAAATAGTAGGGATGTCAACGAATAGTCGACTATTCGACTGTCAGTCGAAAGGACCGACCATCGAATAATGCGACCGACTATCGACTAAATAAAATACGATAAAAAAAGAGCGATAACTCTTAATTACAAATTTATGAAAAAGTTAAATGCATAAATCCTCTTCTATAATCTGATAATTGTCAATAACAATTGTTTTTCTGATAAATTATGAATCACTGTGCTGGGTTTTGTTTCTAAAATTATAATGAAAACACAGTTAATTAGACATTACATTCCATGCATACATAATAGGGGCCTATTGTTATTTTAGTCATGTTCAAAGGTTCACGTACGATAGCCGAGACACGTTTTGATAATTTGATAATTATTTTTATAAAAACACGCATACTTTGTAGTGTTGTAAGCTAGAGGATTTAACCGTTATAAAGTTAATACGGTAATCGGAATTAACAATATCATACCATGCACACGGGGACCTGACGTGTAGATGCTGTTTTTATCTTATTTTATTTAAATGAGTTTAAAAAATATTTGCTGGTAGTTTTTGATGTATAATAAAACTAAATAAATATAATTTCATGTAAACATAATAGCTACAAGTCAAGTGCCTGTGAATATCTGTCAAAAGCATAATGCATACACCAAAGAAGGATAAATCTTGCATAGTCTATGCAAACGAAAGTAAAACGGAAATCAAGATTTTATTATGAAAAAAATGTTCCGAATAGTCGACTATCGTTCGAATAATGCAATCGAATGTTCGACTAAGGAAAATGAATATTTTGACATCCCTATTAAATAGTTATTGCAAGCATGCAAAATATTATCAGAAAGGTACAAATTGTTTAATTTAGTAAAGAAAACTTTTTTTTAACAAGATAATGTTTAAGTTCAATAAAATTTGAAGTAAACAAATAATTTTTTAAAACTTTCATCCATTATACACACCCAGTTCTCTCATGATCCTGAGCCCCTCCTGGTAGTTTGGCCCTGCCCTCCTGACGTACACAATAACATTGCCTTCTATCAGCTTCTGTTGGTATTCTCTCAGAGCTCTTACTATGCCCTGAAAAAAAAGCAGACTTAATATCTACCGGTATTATCCTTCAGAAATCAATGACTTTAAAAATAAATAATTTTAAGATACATGTATGTAAAACTAAAGGAATTAATTTTGAATCAGATAAAATTTCAGTATTTTTTTGTTTTCTTCTATGTAGCAACACTAATTGTTCTTTTCAAACTAAAAGCTTATGGTTGGGGGAGAAGGGAGATGTACACTTTATAATGAGAGTATATGAGATATACAATGGTGTCAGCTGGAACTTTATTGTGACCCAATATAATTCTCAACCTGCGCTTGGTATATACCTTAAATGTGGCTGCTACATTAGTGAAGTTAGCTATGCCGCCTCCGACGATGAGGATTTTACCCTTGGGGTGGATCTCTGCAGTCATCAGGGACAGGATAGTCTTGGCATACTCATATGTCTGCTGCTCGCTGGGGGCTCCAGAGTACTCACCATAATTTGCCAACTCCTTAGCTCCTCCCAAATCACATATTGTGTCACTGAAAATAAAAACAATAATAATACAAGTACAGTTAAACTTTGATATCTTGAGTAGATGTTAACTCAAAATATTCTTGATTACCCTCAATATCATGAATCCTTGGATATCTTTCCAAGTTTTTCTTGGTCCTATTGAGTTTGAGTTAATGAAATTTAACTATAAATCATAAATTTAATCATCCTAACACTACATTTCCCTGTAACCTTACTTCTCCATATATTGATCCAATTAACAGACTTACGCATATATGACAGAAGCTCCACCCCCTGCAACCATGGTCCAGATTCGACCAGATTTGTTCAGAACGGTCAGTTTTAAAGATGCCCCACTCTTAGCATCTAGTTCAGCAATGTATGCTTCCTAGAAAGAAAAAAAAAATCAAGGTTTTCGTCAAAGATTTATTTTTAAAAGAACTGTAGTAATGAGGGGAGGATTTGAATTAGAACATGGATGTAGAATTTTGTTTGACTTACTTCTGGGAGAGCATCCCTGCCAAATGGTGGAGGAAATTCCAGGTCTCCCCACAAAGACTTACAGAGATACTCAGCACACTGGTCAATCTTAGCTGCCAGGTCCAGAATGTAGATTCTGCCTCCAGTGAACACTGTCAGGTAAAAAGTACTGTAGATCACTAAATTTTCGCGACACCTTTTTTTGCGTTTAGTCATTGACTCTTGATTAAAAAAAATACACTTAAAATTTTCACGAACTGTGGTTATTGCTCTATATAATCTTAGGGAATACTTTTATACGCGAGAATTAAATTTTCGCGTGCACACTGTCTCGCTTAATTACGCCAAAATAAAGTTCTCGCGTTAAAAAGTGATTTACAGTAACATACATATAGGCCCATGTTCACAAAATCATAATATTAATAAATGATATCAAAAAACAACTTTTATCCTACATGTACATGTAGACTATAAGGCTGTACAAAATACATTCATTCATTACAGAAAAAAAATTATGAATCTATCTTTCACTTTTTTTGAGATTGATTTGTGAGGAAAACACAGAAATTGACTCACCTAATGGGTTAATTTCTAAGTAGGTAAAATATAAGTTTCTGTATTCAGTGTAAAGAGCCTTGATAAACTTTGTTAAGGGTCTAAAAAGAGAGTTAGTGTTAATACATATCAACTTTATATACATTGTAAACTACATGTACTTTACAAAAATACTGTACTTCAATATAAAAGAAAAGGAATGTTATACGAGGGTTGTCCCGTAAAATCGTGGACAAAACGTTTTTCTCGCATAAAGTAATGGGCGCACTAAGCTGAAAATTTCAGTAAATGTTTATTTATCATATTTAAGTGCATGATAATTTTTTTGGTAAAATATAGGCAAAGATAAAGATTTCATTATGCTGGAATGTATACGGGGTATTGTCCTACGGCGCACGGACAAAAAACCAAAGTTTTATTAAAGAATACACAAGTCTGAATTCAAAATAAAAGTTTTAAATACATAAGATTTGGATTAAAATTATCCTAATTCAATTCCACAATCAATTTTGTAGTCTTTGTAAAAAAATTAAGGCATTTGGTTAATTTTTGGCAGTTTTTCGAGCATTCGAAATGGGAAAAAGGTAAACACAACACACGAAAAATGGCGACGTTTTATGACGTTACGGCGCACCGGAGAGCAGTTCCGTTTTAATTCGATGTTGTAATGACACCTTTAGAGAAAAATGACCATAGAAGAAAAAAAATTATAAAAATATCACCATATCTTCAGTATACAAATGAAATAGGAGTTTTCTTAGTGAAGTCTTATTTGATCGAGTCCCTGGGGAGTACAAAACATACGGACAAACTCCTAATTAATGTAATAGCAAAAGACCGCCGATATGAGATTTTCTATTAATGAATGATGGTGAGAATATTGTCCGTAACTTACTGATAAATCTTCAGAAGATCGCATGAGGGTGCCTATTGGTTCTTCGACTGTTTATGGAGACTAGAGAAAGTGTGTCAATGAAATTCCTTAATTTAAGTCGGACTCATCCAACTTTTTTTCAGCAAAGATAAAACGTGACGCTGTTTTAGACATTTTGACGTTATAATCCATGCGCCGTAAGGTGATACAATACATGGCATAAAATCACATAATTTGTTTATTTATGCATATATTTATCTGAAATTTGCTGTGTATGTTACTAAAATATGTACTAAATAATAGTGAAAATTTCAAACGCAGTTGTTTATTTTTTACATATAGACAACTTGTCCACGATTCTTACGGGAAACCCTCGTAGTTAAAGCATAATAAACTTTAAGTTTAATCATAGCTTTATAATTTTCTGAAGGTATTGAAAAATTATCTTGCATCATGTAGCACTGTTTAAATATCTGTAACCATGCACAATTAAAGGGCTGAAAACCTTACAGTGCATCAAGCATACAAAGAATTTAAATTACTCACTCTTGGGCTGCTGTGGGAGCGTTAGACAACAGTTTGGATTTTATATCAGAGTCTGTGAGTTCTCCAAGAACTGGAATGTCTAGTTTTACTGCCTAAAAGGGTATATAAAATGTTTTCAACTATCGGTATACGTAATATCTATACATGACCAGATGAAAGTTTTTCAAAAATTGAGAATTCAGTTTATAATCAAAATACATTTCTATTCTAGTAGAGGTACAATATATAATGGAGGTATTATTTTATAATTAGAATAAATAAATGTTTTGAATTCTATTAAATTTTAATTAAAATTAAATTAAATTAATTTGAAATCATTATATCAATATCCTAGTCATGTACATCAAGTGACCAAGACGTAATAGTATTAAATTTATACCTTTGAATCCACATCACCTATGTCTATCCCCCCTTCATGATGAAATAGTATTGTATCACAGTGTCTGGAGGAATATATACATAGGTAAAATTCCTCACTCTGAAAAATAAAAAATATACAACAATAAATAAATCAAAATTGAATTTATCTTCTTTTTTATATTGGAAAAAAGTAATGCCTGTTTTACTACAAGTTTTATACATACACCATTTGAATATGCTGAATGTGTAACATTATAGATCATTCTATAAACTCTGTGTACTCCTCATTGTGACTCGATTTGTTTACAATTTTAATTTACTAATCAATATTAAAAATGATGTAAAAGTAATTTTGGATATTCTTTGCATCAGAAATGTTAAATACCTGTTCATGTTTCACAAATGGTTCAATAACAAAGTGTTTGAGTTTCCCTTTAGCTGCACCAATCTGCAATAATTAAAACATGACTACAGAAAACAAGACTTATATGATCAATTTTATCTGTTCAAGGTCTATTTTCTTTCTTTTCAGACATGTATGTTGAAGTTTCTAATTAAAATTTTTAAAATGATTCGATGCCATACATGTACATATGGTCATACTGAGAAATTGTTTTTTGAACAAAATTTCTGACAGTAAATTTTTATTACACTTTAAAACATTTTTGTTGTTGTTGATAAATTGATTAATGATATCAACTGCTGTAAATATTTTAAGCATGTAACTCTTTCCCTAAGATTACTTTTTATCATGTTCCTATATAACACTCAAATGGCCATGGACAAATCGTCAAATACTAAGAACAGTGTGGATGAGAGCTGATTTTTGTTGACTCAGCACATGTACAGGTACACATCACCTGAACTGACTCGTTATATTAAAAAACAAGCACACAGGTAACTCTAGTACCAGGTAAGGTCAAGCTATCTAAAGTGTGAATCAGTCAAGGCTATATAAAACTAACCTTTTTGTTTAGATAAGCTGTAACTGAAGGACATGTTGAAAAGATTTATATGTTTCAGCGACACAGATATGTACAATCAAACACCAAGCCACCCAAAATCAGTAAACTCTAAAAAAAAAAAATATCCATGTGATGGTAAATTAATTTTACAATGGAGACATAAAACCCTTAATCAAACCATCCCCCTTATTTACTGTACAGATAAGAAATACAAAATTTTTCCATTACAGCAATCTCAGAGTCTCCATATTGATTTTCTAACAAGAATCTTTTTTATTCTGATACGTGTTTTCATTTTGTGGAGCTAATCTTATATTTGGGCTTCAAATCACTTCAGTAAACAGCCCTAATCAAGGCTTTTGCTATTAGCCTACCCCCAAAAATCAATCCCTCCACCATTTTCCATGCAATGTATATTCCTGTAACAACTACATCAATGTCCAAGACTTTCATAAAGTGATCAATCAGTTCTAAAATGTGTAGGAAAAATCCAATGGAACTGTCTTGACAATAGTCTTGAATAAAGATGAAATGTATAGATGTAAAATGTTTTGAATTTTAATTAAAATGGTCAATGGTCATGAAGTAAAAAAAAAAAGAAATTTAAGGAAAAAATAAATGTAACAGTAGCATATTGTTTTACATCAATCAGCTTCTGAGGTATCTTTATATTTTGAAGACAATTAATGGAGTTAAACTGGTATTACTACTAAGTATATATTTTCATATACCCTGATTAAGATTTTGAAATTATATGTACCCGGTACATGTTTTTCTAAAAAAATTAATGTTTGTTGTGTTTGCATTTAAAGATAATTCATAAATAATTTTACAAATAAAACTAACATATATTCTTTGGGGAAAAGGTGTATTAAGTACTCTCAATTTTTTTTTCATCTGTGCAATGCTGAAATTCATGAAAAGTATTGGAAGAAAGTATTTTTTCATAAGCTAATTGTCAACTTTGTGAATAACTGATTTATCAATTTATTGTACAGAAAAACCTTTCCAATGAAAATATTCTGTGTATGTTTCATTTTAATTTCTAATTAACAATGTAAATTACCTCAAACTCTTTGCCCAGTTTGTTCTTTAACCATTCCTTCACTCCTTCTAGATCCACTCCTGCCTTGATTAGACCTAGCTTTCCACGTCGCTTGATCAGCTGATCGGGTTTAACCACCAATTTCTATCAAATGAAAAAGAACAGTAAAGGCTAAAGCTGAGGAAATGGCATACATACCTGTATTGTTAGAAACAGATTGATTTTTTTAAAAGAAAACAATTAAGACACCCTGGTACTGTAGTTACTTTTTGCATAAATCACCTGATATATAAGTAACGTACATTTCTAAATAAAGCAAATTAACCAAGCATGAATTAATTTTTCTTTTAATATTCCTTTACTTTTCATATGCTGACTACTTTCCCCCTCTTTGAAGCTATGGTACATCTTAAGTGTTAAAAAAAATGTGCAGGTAGGTAGATTCCAGTGGGGGTATATTAACTGAGTAAAACTTTATTTTTCTTTATTAAAGTACATGTGTCATAGATAATACAGCCCTTTATAACTTCCTGTTACCTACACTGACCGAGCTGCTAGATAGTTCTGCGTGACCTACCTCTGTGAGGAGCCAGGGATTGTTTGTGGTCAACGTGTCCCAATTTACAGCTTCCGTGACAACGGCATACCTATTTTTCACAGCTTCATCGGTCAAATATTTGTTCAGCAGCTCTTTTCCTTTGACTTCATATATAGCTTTAGCTGACATTGTGGACTGTCAATCCTGTAAAGAGATTTAAATCTTAGCACACATAAGCTATATTTATATTTACAAAGGTGCTGGTATCCAATTTCTTGGATGTATTCAAGCTGAATACAAAGAAATGGTGAATTCTCAAAATACTGTGCATGCATGGCTATAAATGAAGTACTTCCTTGTAAAGGAAACTGATAAGAAAATTTACATGTACAACCCTGAAGTAGCTAAATTAAATGCATTTTCTCTATAGAAAGGAAAGTTTAACATGCTGAACTTGTATTAAACTTTTTTTTGGAATTTTTTTTAATAACATTGAATTAAGTTTTTGTTTGTTTTAATGACCACATTTTCAACAAATTCAATTCAAATGTAAAAGTATTTATAACTGACCTTTTTCTAAATTTAAGACAACAGGTAATTAAGTGTCCAACCTGCATAGATCACACAAAATACAAATTACCTGTCCAAGATTTACAACAAAGTCAACAAACTTAGAGATCATAGAAAATGATTTGATTTATAGGCAAAATTAAATGAACTTATGACCTATATATCAAGTACTTGGTCAAAGATATCGTATGTAAAACACACACGGTGCATTAATTTCTATGCCATTGCAACGTCCTTCAATACATGTACAATACAACCAAAGCACATGCATGTACATTACTACAGTACATTCAAGTGTTTCAAAGAGTCAAGGACAAAAATGGTTTCACATACCCACCCATCCCGGTTTATCTTCCAAAAACACACATTAATCATCAAAATGAACTTTACAAGGATTTTATTTAACAACGTTTGATCAAATGAATGATATCATCATTATCATTGACCTTTCTTTTTCAATATGTTATCAAGGACTCATAAATCATTTAATTCATAGATTGAAAATTTTCAAATGAGTATGTGCTATGAAATTTAACTCTTGATACTAATTTAAAATAAGATTTTAAGATGAGGTACCTGACTATACAAATTACTGTAAGCTTATCACTGAAACTTTCTTACCTTGTGTTTAATAAATATTTTAAAGTAAAATAAATAATTTAATAATTCATCAAACCTAGGAATTTTAAAATTTACATTAATGATTTAACTTAATTTGATAATAACATCCTCATAACTTAGTGTAATAGCTATTGATAAATTTTATGCTTAAACCTCATTCAATCAATTAATCCATACATCTCCAGTGTGGGAGCTAGTACTGAGGCATTCGGAAACATAAAACAAAAGGAATCAATTTCTGTCTTACGACAAAAATAAAACTCTTTCTTTATTGATTTAACAAATCCTAAACCTAACTTTTCAAACACAACTGCCTGGAGATGAAGAATTACAACCAAAAGATGCTGATTTTGAGGCATCCTGCATGGAAACAAAAAATATTTCGTTGTATGAATTTCTTTAACTTCACAGCAAAATAAAATTTAGCAGAATCGGAAGAATGGACTCAAAACATGTACAATGTTAATTAACACAAATTTTTTTTAAAATGTATATATATTGTAATAAGTCTAGCATACATATATACATGTACTCACAAAAAGGAGTAAAATCAAATCCTTTATGACCTGCTTCAAATAGAACTTCACAGTTTAGTGACAGTATCAGTGAGATGGATCAAGCCAGCAGATTTTCCTGTCTTAGCTGTTTAGCACACTAGTCTATTGACAGAGAATCCCACTTAGAGTTACAGAGTAGCCCTCTGAGGGGTATTGATCCAGGATCAAGGTATTGGGAGAATGTTGATGTAACTGGCCCAATTACACAACTCCCTATCTCTCTTACCAATACAAACACTGACAAACACTTCAAGTCAGCTGATTTATTTACAGTAAGATGTTAATTACAAAAATTAAGGGTTACATTGTATCATCATAAGTATTGAATTTTCAGATGATGGTCACCATATGGACAGCTGTTAAATTTATTGGGCACAGTGTCTGACACCCTGATAGTTTATCTCAGTCTTTGCCAGCACTATCCCTATCATGTATTGATCTTCTTTGAAGAGTAGATTCAGACTATTATAGATTGTGATCAAGCAACTTAAGCGACAAAAGAATAAGATTTATGGTTTTATCTATAGCACTTCATAGAGATACATGTATAAGAAAGAAAATTCCTTTTTATAATTTTCTCTTAGAAAAATAATTGAAGATTTTATTTTGAGAAAGTATAATTCACTCAAAATTGTTTCCAAGGTTAAGTAATAAGCATGGACATAAAATTTGTGATCAGTATATTATTCCTGAAGATGTCACTGCATGTAAAAACAATTATTTTTAAGGGATAATATTTTAGGCTTAATTTAAATTAAACTCATAGCCTCATGGGTTTAGTATTTCATAAGCAAATAAGTGCTTCTAATTGTTTCATGTTGAAATTTTTTATATTTTGTAGAAGACATCAATTCAGCTAGTGGTCATCTTTTCATACCTAAAAAAACACCCCTACAAAAATAAGTGATTTAATTGTAGTTCAATGTTGTTAATTAATGCACACATACTCAAATTTTCAATGATATAATTTTAAGCCTATAAAAATTTAAACTGCAGCTAGATTAATCAGAATAATCCAACTTTGTCTCAGGGCAAGCCCTCACCACAGTTAGAATATGTCCAATAGCTGCAATATAGCAAATCAAAGTGGATCTGCTCTGGAGGAGTTGCACTGAAAATAACTACCAAATTTATTATAAACAATTTTGAGACTGTATATACCTTTTAATCTAAAACATATCTGCATTATGATGAAAATTCAAGCCATTTTCACTGTTTTTTTTTCTTTCTTCAAATTTACAGGCCATATCATATATGTTAACAATCTGAAATGGAATGGTTGTTGTTTATACACTGTGTTAGAAATATTATTTTGCTATAAGTATATTTTCAGTACATGGAATGAATTCTATTATTAAACTGGGTCCAAATGACAATATCATTTTAACGATGGATCGTTCAATCAAGAAAAGAATACTTCAACAGAACAGTACCTATCAGTCACTATTTAAGACAGTAATTAAGAAGATACAAAATGTATGAAATGCTCCAAAAGTATTAACTAGTATGTTTTTGTCCGAGATAAAATTTCTAATAGTAAAAATACTTTATTTCTTCAAAAATCTACTGGTTCATCAATAGGTGCTGTTCAAAAAATCATGTGCAGGGCGGGACAAATAGAGACAGAAGTGGAGCTTATAACATGTGAATTTGCTGAATCAAAATCATGTAAAAATAAGGAAAAACTGTGATTTTTTGGTTCCATGAAGATCAATCGATTGGCTTGCATGATAATTTTATGCATAAACATCGAATAATCATGTAAGCCACTCTATTGATCACATCAGGAAACCAAAAAATTAGACAGTTATTCCTTAAATCAATGCATAATTATCAAATGAAGTCAAACTTAAACCAAACCAAGGCCCAAATGAAGAATTCTAAAGGGAAATTGTCTAAAACTGCAATACATTATTTAAATATTTCATAATAAGTTTACCAAATTCTTAGTCATAATTAAACACATTTGAAAATGATAGTGACGGTGGCAAATATCCTGTCGTGTGGACATGTGCAGCATGCAGTAAAATGAAAGTAACACCACGGTGGAACAGCGTGCTCGTGTCCAAAAGCTGTGAGGCAGCCTCACTCTTTTCAATAATTATTTAAATTTCAATAAGCAAATAGAAGCAGATACAAAAAAGAATTTCTCCTTACCAGAGGTGAAGTGACTGAAAAAGAATGATGATATATTGCAAGATCATCCGAGAATCGAGTGATCCGTGTCACCTTACCGGAAGTTTACAATTCTTCATATAGATAACGAGCCCGATGTAAATCGACTTTTTTTTATTTGCGAATCCCCCACTTTTATTTTTCCCCACTTATGTTTTGAATCTTGGAAGTTTGACAAATTAACGAAATGTATAAGAAAATCAAATATCTTATTGTTTTCAGAGGAGGGGGGGGACTTTTTTCAATGTTAACTTCTTTCAGTACCATTTTTTTTTTTTGGAATTCAGTTACATTTCCCTGATATCAATTAGATGTAGTATATAGTGGAGGGCCAACTAGCCTTTCCATGAACATTTCAAATAGTAAAAATAATGTTGGGAAAAAAGTGGGGGGGGGGGGTGGGGGTGGGTGGGTCCCCCCTCCCCCTGTTGCTTCGTGCCAGACTTTCAGCAATATTTTTGCAACGCCTTATGATCACCATCTCACTGAATCTCATTTCATTGATTTTTTAAACACTTAACTGAATTTTAAATTCCATAGTCAGGGACCTTTAAACTTACCCAATAATTTTGCCAAAAATCGTTAAAGCGGAACAAAATGAAAACTTGATTGATAATTCGATCGTTACGCACTGTAAACCAAAAATCAGCTCAATATCTGAAATATATGTATATTGAAAATGCCATTTCATAATTCATCTTTGAATTGTTACATTCTTCGTTTTGTGTGCAAGCTGATATAAAGAGATACATGTAGTTCTATTGGAATCGCCGTGTGTACAATTTGCGCCCCGTTATAAGCACACCTATTTATGTATTCATATGAAGCAGAATTTGTGCAAAATATGTGTAGAAAGAGAATACTTGCTGTGACATTCAACTCAACATCTATATACAACATTTATGTACATATGTATATAGATGACGTATATATATAGTCAATTTACAATGCTGAAGTATTTTCATACTTATATCAATAAGTTATGTACTGGTGAGCCTGAAGTTAAAGATACCACATAGTCTGACACATCTGCTTCATATTTGGATATTTTACTGGAAAAAGATGAAATGGTAACCTTACAAACAAGCTCTATGATAAACGTGATGACTAACTTTTCAATCATCAACTTCCCTTACTTATGCAGCAATAGTATAAAACTAGTCTATCAATACCTTTAATCACCTGCATATTTCTCGATTTATACCTCAGATTTGATTCGATACGAATGAGCATACTATACGTATGAACAATTTCTAAAACGAGGTAAGTTATTGACAAACCAAGTGGATGAAACAAGAATATCAGCAGTCTCGCTTGAAGTTAGTTCGTAGGTTATATGGTCGATACAATGACTTTGTCAGCAAATGCACTCTACCATTAAGTCGATTTTCATACTAATTGTTAGGCCATTATT